CACCCAGGCGCCCCCAGGGAGCAGCATTTTAAACTGTTGAACTGGGATTGCCTTTGAAAAATCTAAGTGGCCTGGCAGAAAGACTAAGCTATGGAAATAAACCTTAAGGCTATGGGCATAAATAAGATCCACCTGGGGTAGAGGAAGAGGACTAAGCTCTGGGAAACTAATTGATGAGGTAGAATAGCATCTTACTGAAGAGCAGTAAAAGATGGTCAGAACAGTGCAAACAATGAAATACTGCACTAGAAATATGGCAGGGCAGCCTAAAGTTACCTTTGGGATTTGGTGACAGGTGATTTTAGCGTAAGGTGTGTAGTGGAGGAGGACCTTAACAGTTTACAGTCGGGATTAGAAGAATTGACACCAGCTGCAGATAATCCTTTTGAGAAACTTGGAATGGGAGAGGAAAATAGTAGCTGGAGAGGGATTTGTGGTTGAAAAAGTTGGTTGGCTTTTATTTTCCTTTTTTTAGATGGGAGAGCTAATAGTTTAAAACCAAATGGCAAGGATCTAGCTGACAGGAAGTGGACAGGGACAGGAAGGCTGAAGGAGAGTGGGTTCCAAAACACAGGTGCAGGGACAGGAGGAAAGGAAGGATTAGTGTTGATGACAGGTGGAAAGTTTGTGGGTAGGGAGATAATGTCCTGCAGGAGTATCTGTTTTCTCTGGAAAGTGGAGTGGCAAAGTCATCCTCAGATGAACTCCTCTTTGGGGGTGGGAGTTAGATAGCCAGGCAGGATGGAGAGACCATTTGAGGTTGGGTTTCATGAATTTATAAACGGAGGTCAACTACACATAGCATTTTCTTTTTTTTTGAAAACATAAGGACACTAGAAATTCAAAGCAACACTTAAAAAGCTTTTTACATTTGTAAATAACCAGTGGGACTTAATGCCACAAAATACAGTATTACAAAGAACATTTATATGAATAAAAACGTCAGTCTGAAAGTGAGATCTCAGTCTTCATACATCTGTGCACAGGCTGAGATCCACCTAGAGTTGGGAAGAACCTTTTTGTCCACTTCGTGTACCTAGCTAGGCAGCTGCACACTAGGATTCCAGACCTTTGATCAGAACCACCTGATCTTGGTTGTGGACACAAGATAACTGGAGTTTCCAGGAAGGAAAGTAGGGCATCAAGGCATGAGTTTTCTCAACCCTTCTTTGAGTTGCCAAATAAAAAGGCCCTTCAGCACAAATACACTGTTAAACATTTAGAAGATGCAACAGACTCCCATTTTTTTTCTGAAGAAACACTTTTTGCAGGTCCAAGATATATGAATAATTCACAGTTTGAAAGTAAAGGTGGCACACACACACACCCTTCCCACCCCTATTCTCCGGCCCTTCACTGGATCAAGTCCATCTTGAGGCGTGAAGCTTGGACAGTTTTCACTGTTTTTGCTATGTGTTTTCCAGTCAGATTGCTTGTAGATGTCTGCGATTTTTCTTCAATCAGGCTATCTTTAGATCCATTTCTTCTCTAGAAGAAAATATATTCAAAAGATAAAGTAAGATTCAGAGAAGAAAATGGCCAAATCAACTTTATTAATACATCAGAAATTAAGGTTCATAGTATCAAAAGCTGTTCAACAAACACCCTGGTTATGACATGAAGATTGTAAAGTTAAGTCTGATTGTAACATGCATAATACGCTAAATGCATGAAAATTAGTCCTAAATCACTCAGCTAAATATTTCTAGTCATTCCTAAACCAGACTCTCAGGTTGAATCAAGATAATTTTAGAGTGTGAGACCTCTGAAATGGAAGATGTCTGGATAATCTGAGAGGTAGGGGAAGGACAGTGTATGTGAAGAATGGAAAGCTAATACAGCAAGAGAAAAGTTCTGGGAGGTCACCTAAAACAAGCACTACCTTGTAAGTCACTTTACAGTAAAACCGGTCTCTGCCTGCATATCTTAAGAAAATAAAGTGAGAGTCCATGATTCATCCCACCTTTACCAGCCTTCTGCATGAAAAAAGGAAGTGAGGTGTAGACAGGCCATACCACTACCAGAACTCTGGCACCATGACAGAACTTGGGAAATGCAACTTCCCTGCTTCCCAGTGTCATTCAAGTCCTTTCTCCATGTGGCAACCACATCAGTGGTTTCCTTTTGGCACTTAGAGTAAAGCCCTGCGAAATCTGTCCCCACCCTCCTCCATGCTCTGAGCACACTGGTCTTGGCTCAAACACCCCCAGGACCTTTACAGACTTCTCTCTTGCTCTTCCATCTGCACCTGGGTGGCTCCTACTCTGCAAGTTTCCAGCTTTATACATCAGTTCCTGAGATCACTGGTCACCCTATTTCTGTCATCGGTTTCTGAGTTAACTTTCTTGGACCACCCTATTTCTGTAAAGTCACCTGTTGATTTTTTTATTTTTTTATTTTTCAATATATGAAATTGTCAAATTGACCTGTTGATTTTCTAACTGAGCCCTTGGTTTCTTCATAATGCTTCCCTAATGATTTTGTTAACTTTTATGTGTTCTATGTCTAGGCCAGGAGTCTGAACATTTTTCTCAGAAGGGCCTAATTGTAGACTACATCTGGTTGCTGTTGCATGTTGTGCCCCCCCCCACCCCTTAACCCTTAAAAAATGTAAAAGCAATTTATTAGCTCCTAGGCCATACAGAAACAGGTAGGCTGGATTTAGCCCATAGGCTGTAGTTTACTGACTACCCAGCCAGTGCCTGTCTAATGTGCTTATTAGGTATTTGTTGAATTCAAAGAGATGTCACAGAGACCAGCTTTGAATCAGTGCCACACTGATCCGTAGATGCATGTGAGCTGTTGTATGCAGAAAAGTGAGAACTATTTCAACGTGCAGAAGTTTCCTGCGATTCCTTAGTGATGGTGATCAGGGAGTCTAGGGTAGTTGGAAGAGCGAAAGTACAATAAAATTCTTTGTGCTGAATCCAACTTTAAATTTTAAGACAGAAAGTTCTGAAAAATAACTGCCTGTTTATCCTCACAATAACCCTGACAGGGTATTTACGTTGCATAGAAATTGAAGTTTACAAGTTACATGGTTTGCTCAAAGTCACACAAGTGGTATGCAGAGACAAGGAGACACAAATGCAGGTCAGTCTGAATGCAAAGCCTAAACTCCTAATCTTGAATATAAATTTTTAAAATACTATTGACTTGAAACAATTGTTTGCACAACCTATTGGCTCTTCCGGATCTACCTAATCAAAAATGAGGAAGATGTTATTGGATGTAGTAACTAATTATCCAGTCCTCCATTCAGGACTGAGGCATTCACTCCCCCAGCTGCTGGGAGTGTTGGCTGATATACGGCTAAAAAACTGAGCCCTCCCCCAGGAACTACCCTCAGCTGAAGACAGCCCCCTCCTTAGGGCACCCTTCAACAAGTGACTTGTTAACATGGTGAGTGTCTATGTGTAAAGGCCAAGTGGGAGAGATCCAATAGGCCCTCTCAGCTCTAGAGCTCCCTGTGGAATCAGCTGATGCTTTATTCGGAGAATACTACACCAACATTGGGCTTTCTCTCTCATCCCAATAAGTGTTGATCCTTATGCTTTCCAATAAAGTTCCTCCATGTAAACCTCCATCTCAGAATCTCTTCCCAGGAAATCTAACATAAATTAGTACAGGCGTTTCTGACCCTGCTTAAGTCAATGACAAAAATAAATCTGGAGAAACAAAGGGCAGTGTATAACCTGTACCACTGGAGTCAGTTTTCTTAGATTGTCCATAAACTCCCTGGATTTACATATAAAACTGTGCTTACATGCCTTTTTATGGGAGACAGTAGTTAGAATTGCGTTCCAAAGGGATGGAGGATCTAATGAACACCACATCACTACAAACAACGGGTGGACAATGACCCATTATAAACATCAACTTTGTTCTTAGAGTGATGGTTTAAGTAGACCTAAATCCACCCAATGATCTCACACAGCCTTTTTTTCTCTGATTTACCATAAGAGATGGTGTCAAACACCTTGCTGCAATATGTTTGTTAGAGTGCTCCCCTGATAGATCTAATCCAGCTGAGTAAATTCATTTTATTAAGGCAGACAGATAACTTTACTCTGTCCTTGAATTCCCTTTTAACCACATTATTTAAAACATTTCCAGAACAAAAGTAATTTTCTTTGATGGAGAAGACAAATGAAATAGGACTTGAGTAATTCTGTCTGCCATCAATAATAGAACATGTGCCTGCTCTAAGTCTACCACTTTCTCGCTTCTCTGGCTCAAAAAATATCAAAGAATTTTTTTTTTTTTTTTTTAATTAGTGAAGCTATTGTTTCTTTGCTCTGGTTTCAAATAATCTTACCATTTATTTTCGTTATCCTTGGCTTTGCTCCAAGGATCAGACTGTTTGAGACCTTGCACTAGCTCTAGCTCTCACTTCTAACTTAACTCTTCCCATGTTGTGCCTTGTCTTGATCATGTAACCCTCCTTCCACGTTTTGTATAATTTCTTTTTAAATTATAGTATCTCAGAATGAGGTTAGAGATTCACTGCCCTATTTCCCCAAAAGAACTTTCAGAAAAGTGCTTCTCAAAAATTTTCATCAATACCAATACCTTAAAACTTTATTATTACCAACCTGATGAACTGTGGAGCCACCAGAACCCTGAGCATCTGAAGAACGTGTCACAGGAAGTGGAGGTACAAGATCTGTTTTTGAACTGCAGAGGATTTGTTTTAGAATTAACAATTGAGATAGTACCTAGAATCACAACTTGAGGTGGAAGAGAACTACAGAATAGAAAACATGTTTGATGTACCTTTATACTCCTTAAGAGTACCTACCACAATACTTTACACGGAGAGATGTTTAATAAATGTTTTTGCATTAAGTTGGGCAGGCTTTGCATTAAGTTGAGCAAGGTTTTGACTTGCTCAAAATCATAGAAGAACCAAGAGCAAAACATAAGTGTGGTTCCCATGTGCTCTAGTTACTGTGACATGTATAAATGGCCTTTCGATTTGTTTCCAAAGAAGCATTTGTGGCCATTTATTCTTTTTCTATAAACCTATGTAGCTGTAAATAGCCATGCTCTACATTTTACAAACAAAAAATAAACAAAACCTGGCCTATAACTCTCTCGGCTGGGCTAGCTTATGTCCCAACTTATTAATGTTTATCAAAATTTGAGCCTTAATTCAGAGTTAAATGATTAACATTCCTACCCAGCAATACCAAGTACATGATACATAATTATTTCATTAACATATTCATTTAAAATATAGCACCTCTTGCGACTGTATTGTGAAATACAGTCACTTTCCTCAAAAGAAAAACTGAATAACACAAATAACTACAACATACGATATTTGCTATAGTAAAAGAAAATGTCATCAGATCAAAAAGAAACATACACCGTTTCTCAAATAAGGATGCATTATTCACAATAAATAGTTAATGCATTTTTTTTTCTTCTAAAAGTTTCAGTGCATAGCTTGGAGGTACCATGATTCAGGCTAAGTATGGTCTAGATCTGTGCTGTCCAATATGGTAGCCACTAGCCATACAGGGCTACTTAAATTTAATTAAGAATATTAAATTTTCAGTTTCTCGGTCACAGTAGCCATCTTTCAGATACTTAACAGTTATAGATACAGAACATTTCCATCATTGCAGAAAGTCCTACTGTACTGTGCTGTTCCAGAACTGGAGTTCTGCAAGTGATAATGTACTCAAGCTTGCCCACTTACTTCACCTCCGAGAGAACAGATCGCTCTCCATCTGAACACTGAGACCTGCGATACTGGCGGTAACTTCGCGGTGAATGGGAATGCCTGATGCGGATTGGGTCACCTTGAGTCCTGAATAAGCAACCAAAAACATGGAAATAAACCAGAAGTCAGAAGAGGATAATTTGGAATTTTTCCTTAATATGGAAACCACAAAGGAATGACTTCAAGAATTTAAAAAGAACATGATCCCTCTGAGCTTAGAAAGCCTAAGTGGCTTCACTTTCACGAGCTAACAGAAAACTGCCCTCTTGACCATTTACATGACCATTTCATTTACATGAAAATGAAGCTGTATTATTTGTATGCACATGAGTGTGTAGTTTTTTAATGAAAAATTCTAATGAAACTATTCCCTACAGTTGAATTTTTTCCAGTAGTGTGAAAGAAAAAAAATCTGTAAAGCAGACAAATGGCATTCCTATGAGGAAAGGTTGGTCCTTATCCTAGCTAATTAGCCTGTCATTAAGAATTCAATCTTTGGCCAAAGATGAGGGGGTGGTAGGAAGGGGAGTTGGGGAGAGTGTGTACAAACCTGCAGTTTGACCAGAGTGGGAAGAAAGCATGGGTTACAGGCGGAAATAAAGCAAGGAAATAACCCCCCACCCCCCCACACCCTTTCTCTTTACCAATTACAGCAGGGCAGAAAACAGAGTAAATAGATCATCTTCTGCTGCATCCTACACTGAATGGTGATTAGGGAATCCTGTTACGCTTCCATGGAGCACATTCAATGTGCTAGTTCCATGGGCTAATGTGGCAGGATTCAGGGCCAATACAACTATCTTGTAGTGAATAAAAAGAAACATTATTACCAATCAATGAATCCCTTAAAAAAAGAACTTAGGTTTTAGAACACATTAATTATCAAAAGCTCCCGTGTACCCACTTCATACAAACTGGCAGTTAATATATGATTGTGATTGTAGTGCAAAATAACAATTAGCTTTAATACACCCTTTTCTACCTCTTTCTCTACAGTTTTTTTTTTTTTTTTTTTTTTTTATGTTTATTTTTGAGAGGGAGAGACACAGAATGCAAGCAAGCCACGGGGCAGAGAGAGAGAGGGAGACACACAATCTGAAGCAGGCTCCAGGCTCTGAGCTGTCAGCACAGAGCCTGACCGAACTCACAAACCGTGAGATCATGACCTGAGCCGAAGTCAGATGCTTAATGGACTGAGCCACTCAGGCACCCCCTTTCCTACAGTTTTAATTTTAGTTAAAATGTAAAGACAAAGCCCTTCATAGAATACCACCGGAAACTAAGAATGGACTATTCACTTATAAGTACTAATAAAACTTTTGTGACAAGATTTTCAAAGACATACTCACTCTATTTTAGTGTATGGAATCTCTTTTAATTGTTCTTCAGACAAACCAGAAGGATCCACAAGTTCCTTTCTAGAAGGGAATGAGCAAGAAAATTAAATTTATGAAGCTGATAGCAATACAACTGGCAGGTGAGTTTTTCCTTCCTAACCTTATCCCCAAACACAGTATTAGTAAAACTAAGAGAAATATAAGCCAGGAGCAAAGATTAAAAACCTAGTATGTATTCAAGGAAAAATGGGGGGAAAAACCTTTTCTGTGGCTCTTATACCTTTTTTCCAGTTTTTCTATAACTGGAATGTAGACGACTCTTCCATCCATCATTTCTTTACAAAAGATCTGCTTCTCTCCCCTGTAGTATCTTTTTTCCTTCTGAATCTGTTTTCCCTGGTATTTATTTGTAAAACATTGTCCTGAGGCCATTTACAGGTGAGGCTAACTGGCCTTAAGAGAGGAGATGTCAGGGCTACCTGTAGAGGGGCTGCTGGCACGGGAAGGCACCACCGCTGTGAGTCCCATGTTCCACATAATGATGGCAATGAAGAAAGACTATGTGACAGGCTTCAGCCAGAGGCTGCCTCTCGGTGTCAGTGGTCTCCCTCGTAAACGCCTTAACACTACATGGGTTTTGAAACAAGAAGAGGAAGAAAAAAATCAGTACTTACTGAATATGCTTCCATAACTCTTCTTTTGCTTGGATATCAGGGCTCCTCCTATAAATAGAAAAAACACCACTCATCTCTGCAAACATGCTTCATCGAAAAATCTAACAGCTAACTTTAGCCGAGCTACATTAATAGTTTTCAGACTGTGTAGTTCTTTTTTGCCAGCTGGGACCAGACAACGAAAGACTGGGCAGGGAGAGCCAATGTGGGATAGCATAAAGATACAAGATAATTTATCTGCTAGTACTACTGAAAAAAATCACATAAAACCCAGCCACAGCCAAGGCTTTATCTGATGAAAGAGCCTAGAACTTGAAGAGCAAATCCACACACCCTCCACTGGTGATTTTACAGTGAAGATGATTCAGGCCTTCTGTTTCTGGTCCTTCTGGCTATTTCTAAGTAAAGGCAAAGAACTCATCCTGATTCTATTAATAGGAAAGATTCCCAACATGATCTGTGATTACCTAGTAGAAGCAGCAACCACAGGGAAAAGGGAATGGTGGGACAGCCCAGGCTGGCACACTGTGCCAGTGACCTACCTACCTTTCATACTACATCTCATGTGTTTCTGGGCCAGAGCATGGGCCCAGAAATGCTGTGATCTATGTGTGGCTTATACTGTCACCTCTGTATGTCCTTCTCCATCCAAATCTACATACCCCACAGATCTCCAAATATCCCCGAGTAGAAATTATACCACTACTTTTAATTTCCTAGAATGAGAAATTTCAAGTCTTTATCCATGTGTTCACCCTCCCCACAATAGCAATGAATACTAGAAATCTATTATCACTGCAAGTGTTGCCACAGAATGATTTTTTTTCCTAGTGAGAAAATGATAAGCTTTCGTTAGTCCTTTCAATAGAACCAAGGCCTAATAAAGGCCCAAAGAAAGGACGCAAAACCTAACAATTAAAAGGCCTGGTGCTACGCAAAGCCACAGCAACAGCAATACTCTGTCCTGTGGAATTTTACGTTCATAATCTGTATCAGCATTTTTGGGCTCAATATCACTTTCAACATATGATATTATCATTGTTTTCATTTTTCTCAGTAATAAGGCACCACTGAGGCATTCTGGTAGGACTTTCTGAGACCACAGAATACAATAAGCTACTTTCTAGCAATTAAATTGACTAAGTGGCTTTTTCCTTTATGGAAAAAAATCTGTAAAGGCCTTTTAACCAATTCAAAAGGAGTCAAAACATGGAAGATAAGGGGAGGGGATGAAGCCTTGGTCTCAAATGTAAAAATGTGATATTGTTAAATGTTGATTTTGTTATATAATAAAATTATATGCTTAAAAAATTTTTTTTAAAGTTTATTTTGAGAGACAGAGCATGAGAGACAGAGAGAGGGGAGGGGCAGGGAGAGAGGAAGGAGATAATCCAAAGCAGGCTCTACACTGTCAGCACAGAGCCTGATGCAGGGCTCGATCCCATGAACCATGAGATTGTGACCTGAGCCAAAATCAAGAGTCACTGAGCCACCCAGATGCCCCTATACACTTTTTTTTTTTACGTCTTAAGAAATGCTTCTTTGGAAGGATTTTCTGTAAGGAATCTGCCTTTCCTATGTTTGGCTGGTGTGATTCACTAGACAATATTTTAAATGATACTTCCGGAGAAGGTGCTAATACTAAAAAGCAGTAAGCTATTTATACTATTCCCAGAGAAAAGATGGTTCTGCTTTACCTATACATCAGCATCTAATTGTCAGAGAGGGTCACCCAATAGTCTTAAGTATTACAGAATATCTAGGTTAGGAAGCCATTCTATTGAAAATCATTCTTATCTCTGAAGGTGCAATAGTAAGGCTATCTTTGAGTTGAAGAGGGTTTCTCAACCTCAACACTATTGACATTCTGGGTCAAATAATTCTTTGCTGTAGAGGGCTGTCCTATGCGTTGTAGGATGATTAGTAGCCCTATGGTCTCTGCCAATGATGTCAGTAATACCTCCCCACTGTGACAAGCAAAAATGTCTCCAGGCATTGCCAAATGTCCCATGGGGCGCAAAACTGCCCGAAACTGGAAATAACTGGTCAAAGGTTTGACCTGAAAGTAAAGTAGTTATGGTTGGGTGGAGGAACTGTGAGGCCAGGTCACTGTAGAGATCCATTATGTGATTACTGACACAGTGTCGGAGAGAATAACAGCAAAGCAGGAACTAAATCTTCAAATAATGAGGTAAGGGATGCATACACAAGGAGTGGTATAATTTGATGGCCTGAGATTCAAAACCGAGTGCTTTGAGGAAAGAGGAAGGGAGAATAAGAAAAAGCAATGAGGGGCAAGTAGGATGTGCCTGTCCCCCATGACCACCATATCAGGCTAGTGAGAGAGAGATGATGAATATAAGCAACATACAAAACACTTGATAACTGGATATTTCTGAGTGCTGGAATTGCAGGTAATGTTATTATTCATACTTACCTATCTTTTCTGATTTATTTTTAGTCAAGAGAATTTTTTTTAAGTTTATTTATTTTTGAGAGAGAGAGAGCACAAGCAGGAGAGGGGCAGAGAGAGAGGGAGACGGAATCCCAAGCTGGCTCCACACTGTCATGGTCAAGAGAATTTCTAACTTTAGGTATCAAAAAAGAAAAACATAAAAATATTTCCATGGTTTAAAAAATTACTATTGTTGCAATTCCACAGGCAATACCTTTCATTCCCATCTTGTAAGAATTAGCAGAAATGTTACCTTAACCCAAATGGGAACATTAGTCCTTGGAGCCATAAATACTGGTCCTAAAAGATTCAGGAATTTAGTCTAGATGTTTAAGTTCTATAGCATCTATAATAAGCATCTACGATTGTCATGTTTAAGTTACTGAGTTCCGAAATGCCCAACAGTTTCAAGCAGCTTTATGTCAGGGAGAAGTTCCAAAGCTAAAAACAAAAAAAACAAAAACAAAAACAAAAAAAAAAACAATTTCCTCCAATTGCTAGACCACCTGTGATTTAACAAATGTAAATACAGGCAACATGCTAATGAGGAATGTATTATTCTTATGCTTACATCTGCACACATTTAATCAATAATTTAGGATGATTTCATGATCTGCAGCTCAACATCATTTTGTGAATTTAGAAAGCTGTGGGATTTTGACAGCCATTTTTCTTAATTAAAGGACTCTTAATTATGCAGATGTTTTATTTGAACTCTCCAAATAAGTTCCTAAGGAAATAGAGCATATATATATAATACACATGAAGTTCAATATTAGTCCCATATTTTTCAAAAACAAAACATCCCTCATCTACACCTGATACCAACAGCCCAATATAAATATTCATTTTTCAGAGAAATTAGCTTTGATGAGACATCATTTAGAATCATCATCTCCTTTCTTCCAAAACTCTAAGAACAATACTTGTTAAATCTACAGTGTTTAAACCCCATCACTGCATATAGTCTTTTACATCTCCCTAACGTTACGATTATATTAACTAGAAAACACTATATGTTATACTATGGGATACAATACACTATATTTTTATGTACTATAATAAACTAAAAAATAAATGAGGTAGCATTTGACTTCATGCTTTTGTGACCTTACCACTGAACGCTGTTCTAAAAGGAAATTTAGACTTGAAAATGTTACTAAGAAAACTGTAAGTTTATAAAACATCTTTATTTTAAAAATTCAAAGCCCTTAACAAATATCTCATTAATTCCTCATCATATTCCTGAGTGGTCAGAATAGACACGATTAAGAGAAAGCTTAATCTTCCACTCCTTCCCTCCCTCTGTCAGAATTAAAGGATTAGGAAGCCACAGGGCTCAGCAACCTGGCTACTGAAGATCATTCAAGGAGTCACTTCCAGAACCTACATGCTAAATCTCTGAGGAATCAGACTTCTGTTTTGTCTTTAATGGGAACATCACTTCACCCTGACAATCCCATCTTCACATCAATTATTTTTGAATAAAAGTAGTGAGACCTTACCACCACCAGAGGGAGCATGAGCCTTCTCACACACACAAGTTGAACCTATGAGAACTATTGTTTCAGCTTCATTGCCTCTTCCGAATATACCAATGAGTAAAGTTTTACTAATATAGAAAAGCATTTTCACCAAAAGTTTCTAATGATAAGTAAACGAGAATGTCATGGCAATGCAGCTTCAAAATGTACTAGAAAGAACTGTACTTCTCAACATTTTCCTAGATGCGATCCAATGATATTTTAGCTTAATGTGTTTTAGGAGAGAGGGGGTTTGTATTTTATACTATTGTATGTCTCTGGCATTTATAATACATAAAATTTTCTAGCTTTTTATTGTAAATTTGAAAAATAAAATGAATGAATCATGTGAATGATGTATCATAGCATTCTAAACCCTCAGTGAATATATGTCCATATAGCAATTTATTGACACGGTAGTAGGAATTAAGAATATGGGAGTAATTGACAGTTAAGTGGTTTACTGTATATCTGAAATGTTAATTATATGTGAAGAACAATTTTAATTACTTTCTCAGATCCTGCTCTAGTCATGTTACCATTTTTTAAAAAAGCAGTAGCGATTCTTGGGGTGCCTGAGTGGCTCAGTCAGTTGAGCATCTGATTCTTGGTTTTGGCTCAGGTCATTATCCCAGGGTCGTGGGATCAAGCCCAGCGTTGGGCTGGGCTCTGCACTGAGCGTGGAGCATGCCTAGGATTCTCTCTCTCTCCCTCTCCCCTCCTCCCTGTCTCTCTCTCTCTCTAAAATTTAAAAAAAAAAAAATTTTTTTTAATTAAAAAAAAAATTAAGAGAAAAGCAGTAGTGGTTCCTAAATTTGCACAGAACCGAATTAAAATCTTCATTTGAGTTGGCCCCACCCCGCTCTCTTCACATCTCACCTCCTCTTTATCTCAAGGGAAAAAAATCAGTACCTTACAGCATTTCTAGAGATTGCCCAAGACCTAGAGAACTTATTATAGTAACTGTAATCCCAAGTATGATATCACAGGTACTTGTCATATAGGACTTGAATTTTCAGCAATATGAAAATGGTATTATCTATTTGTAGAGATGACACTGGGAGTTCATG